TACCTAGGATAACCCAAAAAAGTCAGAGTGACTTATTTCCATTGCCTTCACTCATAGCGTCATTTCTTCTAAAAATGGCGTTACATGAGAATGGGAGTGTTCCTTTTTATTTATTCTACCGTATCAATGTAGAGACAACTTGTACACAATGTAACTTGTACACAAACCAGACGTGTACACCTGGTTTGTTTACATAACTGCGCCTGTCCTCTCTCATGTACTCATTCTCTCTCTCTCTCTCTCTCTCTCTCTCTCTCTCTCTCTCTCTCTCTCTCTCTCTCTCTCTCTCTCTCTCTCTCTCTCTTCCTCTCTCTCTCTCTCCTCTCTCTCTTCTCTTCTCTCTTCTCTTTTCTCTCTTTCTCTTTCTCCCGCCCCTCTCCTTCTTCCTCTCCTCTTCTCTCTCTCTCCTCTCTCTCTCTCTCTCTCTTTCTCTTCTCTCCTCTTCTCCTTTTCTCTTTTCTTTCTCTTCTTTTCTCTCCCCTCTTCTCTCTCTCTTCTCTCTCTCTCTCTCTCTCTCTCTCTCTCTCTTTCTCTCTCTTCTCTCTCTCTCCCCTCTCTCTCTCTCTCTTCTTTTTCTCTCTTTCTCTCTCTTCTCTCTGTCTCTCTCCTCTCTTTTCTCTCTTTTTTTTTTTTCTTTTTTTTTTTTTTTTTTTTTTTTACACAGGTTTGACAAGGTTTAAGGATCCCTAGCTTTATTGAAAAGCTATTTACGGGTTAAAGGGTTTCCCTAACCTTTTTGGGCAAGCTAAGAGCTGTTACCTACATAGCTCATTTGAAAGCATTTTTATTGTTATGAGACATACAAGTAGGGAACAGGATGAAGTTGGAGCCATCTGGGGGCCCAAAGCATTTTCATTTGATCAACTGACTTATCTCGTTGACATCATTATGCTGAACGAATGGTTCCATACCAGTCATCCGGGGTTAGTAGATCTCAGATGGAGTGATGTTCTGGAGAAGGGTACAGCCAGAGTGAAGTTGCTGCTTTCTGCCCGTCTTGGGGCATAAAAGCTTGTTTCCGCTGTCCTCGAAGTGGATCCAAGTGTGGTTTTTTGACAATATTGGCCTTGTACATAACAGTAAGGCCACCCACATCCCTCCTATGTTGAAGGCTCTCTGAATGACAGATCATCCAGGATGGGTCCAGGCGAGAGATGAGACGTCTTGCTCTGTTCTCTACTCTGTCAAGCAGTCGCAGATGAGAGGGGGGCAGGCAAACCAAGAAAGTGGAGCATACTCAAGGTGGAGGTACTTGTGCCTCGTCAGGATCTTGCAACCCTACTGTCAAGCAGATGGGAGATACGGCAAAGTGCTGTAAGCTTCCTGGCTGCCTTGTTTGCAAGAATTTACAACATGGTTCTTCATGGTTAGTTTGGAGTCAAATTTCACCCTCAAGGATATCAACTTCTTCTCCAGGTGCCAACACCCTCCCATTCATCCTTACTACTGCACCAGCATTACCATCATGGTGCCTAGAGACGATCATCATTTGCGTTTTCTCAGGTGCAAATGTTACTTGCCTCTATTTCCCCAAGCTGATATAGCTCTCAGCTGGTGATTGATGTAGCTAGAGCAGCTGGCATTTCTTCTCTTGGATAAGTGAATGTCAGTGTACAGTCGTCTGCTTTATGCATGTGATTCTGGGATGAGATGAAGAAGGTCGTTGAAGTAGACATTCCATAACATGGACCCAGCACCTTCCTTGTGGAACCTTGCCCCAATAGGATGTCTTGCTGATTCCGTTCCATTGAGGACTAACTTAGAGATCTACCATGAAGGTAATCACTGAGAGGGCATAGCTAGAGCCCGTTCCATGCTTTTTGTGCCGTCCCCGTCCCGCCCGTCGTCTCCCGCTGCTTTTCTCTCTGCTGTGTCCCTGTTGTTTCCCTCCGCCCTCTTTCCTTGCTCTTCGTCCGTTTGTTTTGTCCTCTCTTTGTCTTCCTTGTTTTGTTCTCAGATCTTCCTTTTTCCAAATTTCCTTCTTTATTCTCTTTTCTCTCTTCTCTTTGTCGCCCCATTTGCCTCTTCTCCTGGGGCCTTTCCTTCTCCCTTGCTTAATTTCCTTTCTCTGCTGTCTCACTCTTCTCCCATCTTCTCACTTTCCCCCCCTCTTTCATGTTAAAATTTTACCCTCCTCCTCTTTTTCCCCTCTCTTTACCTTTTCCTCCCCAATCCCTCTCTTCCCCTCTCTCTTTTCTTTCCCCCTCCCTCTTTCTCTTCTCTGTAATTCTCCCTTTTCCCCTTTCCTTTTTATTCTCATCCTCCCTCTTCTCTCTTCCCCCCCTTTTTCCTCCCTCCTTATTTGCTTCTCTTTTCTCCCTCCTTTCTTCCCTTCTCTCCCCTTCTCACTTCATCGTCATTCTTTTATTTCCCCCTTCCTCCTCTCCTCTTTTACCTCCCCTCTCTCTCTTCCCTCCCCTCTCTCTCCTTCTTCTCCTCCTCTCTCCCCTCTCCTTCCCCTCTCTCCTTCTCTCTCTCTCTCCTCTCTCCTCTCCTCTCTCCCTCCTCTCTCCCCCTCTCCTCTTCCTCTCCTCCTCTCTCTCTCTCCCCCTTCTCTCTCCTCCTCTCTCTCCTCTCCCCCTTTCCCCCTCTTCCTCTCTCTTTCTCTCCTTCTCCTCTCCTTCTCTCCCTTCCTCTCTCTCTCTCTCTTCTCCCCTCTCTCTCTCCTTCTCTTTTTCCCTCCTTTTCTCCTTTTCCCCCTCTCCCCTCCTCTTCCTCTCCTCTCTCCTCTCTCTTCCTCTCTCTCTTCTTTCTTCTCTCTCTTCTCTCCTCCCTCTCCTCCTTCTTCTCTCCTCTCTCTCTCCCCCCTCACCCCCTCTCTCCCCCTCCCTTCACTCTCTTTCTCTCTTCACTCCCCCTTTTTTTTTCCCCCCCTTTCTCTCCTTCCCTCTCCTCCTTTTCCTCACTCTCTCTCTCCTCTCTCTTCTCTCCCCTTCTCTTCCCTCCCCTCTCTCTCTCCCTCCCTCTTCCCTCCTCTCCCCCTCCCCCTTCTCTCTCCTCCTCTCTCTTCTCCTCTCCCTTCCCTTAATTTTCTATTCCTCCTCTTCTTTCCCCCTCTCCTTCCCTTTTCCCCCTTTACTCTCTTTTTTTTTTTTTTTTCACTCCTCCTCCAAACCCCCTCTCTCTTTTCCACTCCTTTTCCTCTCCCCTCTCTCTCTCCTCTCTACTCCCCTCTCTTCCCTTTTCTCTCCTTCCTCTCTCTCCTCCCCTCCTCCTCTCTCTTCCTCTCTCTCTACCCCTCTCTCTCCCTCTCCCTTTCCCCCTCTCTCTCCTCCTCTTCCCTCTCCCTCCTCTCCACCTCTCTCCCCTCCTCCTCTCCTTCCCCTCTCTCCTCTCCTCCTCTCTTCCCCTCCTCTCCTCTCTCTCTCCCCTCTCTCCCCCTCTCTCTCCTCTTCTCTCCCCCCCATCTCCCCTTTACCCCTCCCTCTCTCTCTCTCCTCTCCCTTTTTCCCCCCCCTCTCCCCTCCTCCCCTGACATATATGCATTTTATTACTCTGTGATGCTTAAATGTCATAGAATATTATGTGTGGGTGGGGTGGCCACATACCACACTTGATTTCTTACAATAAATACTACTCATCTCACCTTAGATTAAGACTACAAATATTTTTATGTAAGTAATTAGTGTACTATATGCGTATTTTACTTTTTTTAATGCTTAGTCCTATTGCTAACTAATATATGTTAGTGTAAACTTATCTAGTACACCTACCATCCGACTTACGACCTGCTCAACATACGTCCACTCGACTTACGACCGTGCATCTGGCAGCTGGGCTGGGCCGGCTGATGCATACCTCTGTACAATATTTGACAATACTCGGGGCGGCAATGTGTCAGAATTTAGCAATTTTGCCAATTTCACAAATTTCCAAAGATGCCAATTTCCAAATAGGGTCCAGAATAAACAAGAAGACTTTCCTGGCGCTAAAATAGCATTTCCTCTGTTCATTAGTCACGTCCCCACTCCCCTCCTACATTCTTTCGGTTTCCACTTTGAATTTTTATTCTCACAAAAAATAAGAGTATTTACTGTTATGCAGACTACTGCATTAGTGTAGAAATGGTATAAATAATATTAGTGCACTTGTGAAAGAATATTAGGCTCACCAGTTGACGTGTATTGGACGCGTAGCATGATTTTACTTTTGAACTTCGGCAAAAATCGAAGATTTCTGCTACTTTGAGCTCAATTTCAAGGTACTTTTCATTGTAAAACCGATCAAAATCGTCTCAATTTCTGTTATGTCTTACATTCTATAAAATGAGACCAGGAAAACTAGAATACCATCATGAATACCATACGAAAATACAGTGCAAAGTCGCGTTTTAATCCAAAAACACGGTCAGTTTTTTTTTTCCCATTACGCACTGTGTGCTGCAGGATTTTTTTCATACTGTGCACACTTCACTTAAAATGTTAAGAAAGTTACACAAAATTCTCTAAATCCAATGAAAATTAGAGACTGAATGATGAGAGAGTGAGTCAGCACGAACTATAAACTAGCATGGGTGGCATGTGAGTTAAGAAACAGTGGAAGTGGAACAGGCCCTAGAGGTGGCTGCTTTGGCCTGTGCTGGGCTAATGTAGGAATTCATGAACTTAGCCTGGTACTTCAGAAGACAACTGAATACGACCACTACAGACAAAATGCAGAATTATGAGCTTTTGTCTATCTTGTCCAATTAGAGCATTTATACAGCCATTTTTCTCCAAAATGCGAAAATCTGTTAGCGAGAGGTTTTACAGTAGTTCTGATCCACTAATCAGAGGTTTTACTGTAGTTTGCTAAATGGATGTGTGATTCACATATGTTTTGACTAACCTAGGTTATGGCTATTTTTATTGAAATTTCTTCCTATTCTACAATGTGGGTGACTGCAATTTTTAACTGCATGTGATTTCATTTGTTTGGGTTCTTAACAGGTAATCCTGTTTACGTCTTTACTTTTTTTTATTATACCGTAATTTATTTATGTATGCATTTCCCTTTTACAGCAAGCGTATACTGATGTCACGCTGGCATGTGACGGCAAATTCTACAGTGTGCACAAGTTGGTGCTTTCAACGTGTAGTGATTACTTCTGTGCCATGTTTGACAAAACTGCTTGCAAGAGCCCAGTTATAGTGCTGAAAGATATTAAGTGTGAGGACTTAGAAGCCTTGCTAGATTATATGTACCTTGGTGAAGTGAATGTGCGACAAAGTGACTTAGCCTCTTTAATTAAGGCCGCAGAAAATTTGAGAATTAAAGGCCTTGCAGTACCTGATGATGAACCTCCAAATAAAGGTATGGGGGGAGCACCTCCACGGACAGAACCTCTTAGAAGAGATGGAGGAAGTGGTAGTCCTCCAACAAAGAGAAAACGAAGAGATGAAGGTGAAGATGGCCGGGAAGATGTCAGACCGCCTCCACCTCCATCAGGTGGCTTGCACACACCACCTCCGTGTAGACCAAAGAGCCCTGTTAGTCAGCGGCTAAGTCCTTCTCCCCATAGAACATCTCAGGAGTCGCCTGTAGCTGAAGATCGCACTAGCCGTCCCCTTTCCTCACCAGCAGAACCCCCTCCAGTATCTCGTGCTTCATCACAACCCCCTGCTCAGTCTGCATCTTCCCAACCACCCATTAATCAGTACACAGAAGAGACTCCATCTTTTGTAAAGGTGGAGATGGAGGAAGAGCGTCCAGATGATATGCATGGAGACTCTTATGATTTAAGTACAGATGGATATAAAGAAGAAGACGATTCGGGTAGTGGAATGAACAGTGATTTACCGGAGTTCCTACAAGCAGCTGCCTCTGGAGCCTTAACCAGTGGTACTGCATCTTATCCTCATCACTCCTTTGCTGGCCCCTCTGGCTATCAGCCGGTAAGTTTGACTCCTTTTTTTTATGTTAATGTATTGGAAATACAGTGGTCCCTCGTTTTTCGCGATTAATCCGTTCCAGAGAGTGACTATTATCAAAATTGACGATTTGCGAAACCATTTTCCCCATAAGAAATAATGTAAATACAGTTAATCTGTTCCAGACACCCAGAAGTATTAAAACAAATAATTTTTTTACATGAAATATAGATGTGTACACACAGAAAACAATGACACATGAAGAATGAAACATTAACAGCATAACACTTACCTTTATTGGCGATTCTTCTTAGTGTATGGAAGACTGGAGGAGAGGAGAGGTTGAATTAATTACTGTTTGGAAGGAGAATCCCCTTCCATAAAGACTTCAGGTACCAAGTCCTTTTCCTGGGTTAATTCCCTTCTTTGTTTTTTAATGCCACTATGACCAGCTTGAGTCACTGTACATGTGGCACTAAATACTTGTCCAGACAACTCTGTTTTTTTGGTGTCTCTTTAAAATTTCCCTAAAATGGGACAAGACTTTGTCATTGTAGATGTTGCCGACACAGCTTGCAGCAGCTTTGTCAGGGTGTTGTTTCTCCACAAATCTTTCCATCCTACTCCACGTTGCGCAACTCTCCTTAATTTCTGAAGAAGGCACCTTCGTCCATCTCTCTCCCTCTGAAGCAACATGCTGAGTTGCAGTCTATTGCTGTTCCAGCTGAAGCTCTTGCAGCTCTTCAGTGGTTAGCTCTTCGTTGTGGTCTTCCACTAACTCTTCCACATCCTCACCACTTGCATCCAACCCCGTGGAACTCCCCAATGCCACAATAGATTCCACAACTGGCAAAGGGTCCTCAGGGTCAGCCCCAAATCATTCAAAATCCCTCTTCTGGACTCACATTGGCCACAAATTTCTCCAAGCAGAGTTCTACATCCTGGAAGTCACTCCCTGGTCCATGGGCTGGAGGAGAGGCGTGGTATTAGGGGGCAAGAACTTCACTATGATGAAACCAAACTCCTCCATAATTGGGTCATCCAAGTTTGGAGGATGAGCAGATGCATTGTCCATTAGCAGGAGGCACTTGAGTTCCAATTTATTTTCCAGGGGGTATTTCTTCACACTGGGGTCAAACACTTCATTGAACCAATCAAGGAAAGTGTCCCTTGTGACCCATGCCTTATTAGCTTTTCACAACACACAATTTACTCTTCACGACATTGTTTTTCTTGAACACACTGGGATTTTCAGAGTGATAAACTAGTAAAGGCTTCACTTTGAAATCCCCACTAGCATTACTACAAAACATGTGAGTTAGCCTGTCTTTCATAGGCTTGTGCCTTTTCCTCCTGAGTAATGTAGGTCCTCCTTGGCATTTTCTTCCAAAAGAGGCCTGCTTCGTCACAATTGGGGGTTTGAATTGTTCAGTCTGTATGTACTTGAATTCACTTATGGATTTTTCCACTGCATTTTTGTCAGAACTGGCAACCTCACCATGCCTTATCACACTGTGTATGCCATTTCATTTCTTAAATCTCTCAAACCAGCCTTTGCTGGCCTTAAAATCACAAATATCAGTTCTCGTTGCATGCAATTTCTTTACGAGATCATCATGCAACTGTCTTGCCTTTTCACAAGTAATTGACTGCATAAGACTATCTTCTGCTAATTGTTTCTCGGTGATCCACAACCAATAATAACTTCTCAACATCTTCGAGTACTTGCGATCTCATTTTTGTGAGCATATTTACCCCCCTTTTTCAACAGCCGCTTCCTTGATTTCCTTTTTCTTTCCCACGATGGAAGTGATGGTTGTATGGGGTTTCTTAAAGATCCTGGCCAGTTCTGCCCCACATGCCACTTTCATATTGTTCAATGATATTTTTCTTGAATTCTATCATATTTCTCACTTTTACCAAAGGCATGGCACTAGGAGCTTTCTTTGGAGCCATGGTGGCTTATTTAGCAGTTGCAAGCACTAAAATGAATGGAATGTTATTAAATGTATCATATGAACATGTGAGGTGATGGTCACTCGCTAATAAACAATTGCACCCTGGTTGGGAATGGAGTGTGAGGCTGCTCTGGGATGTGCGTATGTGTCCGGGACGAATGACTATATGCGAGTAATTGTTTTGACGAAAAAAATTACGATTTTCGAAAATCATGGCTTTCAATGCTTATGAAAAACGAGGGACCACGATATAAAAATTTCTTTCAGTTGAGAGAATTATATGAATTATTGCTTATCAGTAATCTGCTTTTAGTACTCATTTTCATTTTGTAAACTGTTTCATGGTAGGGTGACCTGGCTGGCTGGCAGGGTGATGGCTCATCTCTAGGGTTTCCAGCACATCTTAACTTCAGCACCTCAGACAGTTCTAGTCAACAGAATGCACCCGGGGTAAGTGTTGTATTAGTCACAGTCTGTTTCCATGACCACCCACCAGCCAGTGGTATTGCATGATTTATGTAATCTTGGTGAAAAATCATACTTAAAAATGATAATGCTGCAGGTTTGCTGTGTAATGGATATATTAAATAGTGTTGAGGAAAATCTTTAATAATGCTCAGTGAATTGTATGTACTTGGGAATTTATAATTATGTACTCCACATATATCACCTTGTGACTATCATAAAGTATCTGATAGGCTTGTAGGTGTGCAGAGTCTTGGTGGAAATCTCTGTATAACACTACTGTTGTGGCTTTAGTTGGATTTGAACCCAGGTTTAAATATCTAGGCCACTCTTTCGAGTTCTGTGTAATGTAAATTTCCCTCATAGGTTGAATGACTATTTATAAAAAGCTTATCTTCTGTTACAGTGCTTGTTAGTCTCTCACTGCAGTAGATAAAGCCTTTTCTAGATGTATGACTAATGAATACATCAGATTACCTGAGCAAGTTTCTTCATATTTGGTGTTTTGGAAACTTTAAGACTATTAATTATACATAGTTATCTGCTGCATTTGTAATTACTAAATGAGCATAAATCAATTCAAAATGGAGATAATGTAATTTTCTTGGAATTGCAGTAAAACAAATTCTTGCCAGAAACCTTTTGAGCACTTAACTTTAATAATAATGCTAAGCTCTGCTCTTACTCGGCATTGAATTTTTGAAAGATTATTAAATAAAAATTTATTTGCAATAGAATACTACTAATTTTGTTAAAATAGAATGACTGAGATGGCTTGTATTTAATGATAATATTACGTTCTAAGAAACATTTTTTAAAGGAACATATTTTGTTTGGTATTAAAAACCTTGCTGTAAGATTAGTTTAATGAAACATCTAAAGAACACAGTCATTTGCTCCTGTTAAAATGTCAAATGTTTTTAGATTTTCAGTGAGGTGCAAAGATCTAGATGAACCATGAATAATAATTCTTGCCTTGTTCAAATGTTAAATTGGAAGAATGTCATCAGACTGATTAGTGCTTTCCAGTACTTTTATGAGTAGTATTAAATAAAAGAACCCTGTTTAATTGAATTGCCATGATACAGCAAAATATAATGGTCCAAAAATTAATTGCATTTTCATTACCAGATTGTTGATCATAAATATGTACTGGCTGTGTGGGGTGTTCATGACAGATGTTTCCTCACCAGTCAGAAAATTAGAAACCAGACAAATCATTAGAATAAGTTATAAATATACAGTAAATTGCAGTGTTTGCGTTTTATCAATGTCATTTTGTAAATTAAGTGCATATTGGGCACGTGACTAGTTAATATTTGCCAGAGTTGCTTAATGAGAATGGCATGGTGAGAATCTCCACGAAGCAATTAGTTTTAAGACATAGCTGAAGGAAGGAGGACAAGGGTAAGTGATTAGTTGCAGTGATTTGTCTGGCTTTCAATGCCAAGACAGGTTTAAATAACTTAGTAAAAATTGAGAGTTCAAATGTAATGAATGTACTGTGCTACTTGGTGAGGTTCCATCTTAAAGAGATCAGTAATCACATAGCAGTTTGTAGTGAAGTACATATTGATAAACAGCTCCCTTTATGATTATCATGTGACCATTTTTTCTAATTGACTTAAAATACATAGTCGGAATTTAGTACAGTACTTATCTTTGGTTTTCTACATTGTGGGTTCATTTATGAATTTAAGCGGTGATCATTACACTTGCATTTGGATATGATATATAATTGTCGTGTTTTATAGCCAGAAGATTCATATGCATTTTGCATTTTTATTTGTAGAGGATAAATAGATATATTCACAATTCAAATTTATTTAAATTTTTGTATCAAAACTAACTTAGCAACGAGACTTTACTATTTACAAATTTATGCATATGTATTACGGTACAGTATGTATACTGTAGATTAATGCTAAATAATTTATGGTCAGCCTAAATTTAGTAGTTGTTTAATATCAAATAATTCTTGTATAATTGTAGCAAAAATTTATATATTGTACATATGTACTCTGTTTGGCATGTTTGGTTCAGCATATTTTTACTTATAGGCCAAGGCTGCAAGTTCTAGCTACAAAGCACGACTTTGCATACATAATGTCTGTGATGTGTACTTCGTGTATGTGTGTGTATGCTAATATATATATATATATATATATATATATATATATATATATATATATATATATATATAATATATATATATATATATATATAATATATATATATAATTATAATGTGCTAAATCCATAAAACTGGTCAATTAGCAAAAGCTCATTTAAAGTTAAGTTCTATCTAAAATTTCCTGTTCAACATTTAAAGATATATATTTTAATTTATGTTAATATAAAAATTAATGATTTTGTACCGAAAGAACCATAGGAAACTTATCTAACCTTATTATGACAAGCGCAATTTGATATAGCCTAAACCAGCTAAATATATTTTATACAAGTTTGCAATAATTTAATGAACAAACAGGTTTAGAATAATTTTTGCAAAGCTATTGCATGCACAAATTTTCGTTTGCCCTATTTGGAAAGAAGTGCGTTCCTATTTAATTTTACTTATTTGGCACGACATTATATATAGATGTGTGTGTGACACACACCACCCCACCCTCCAACAGAGATTCCACAGACCCCCCTCACACATCACCACATACCCCCCCCAAATACACCGCACCCCCACAACACACCCCCCCACACCCCCAAAAACCCCCCCCCCACACCCCCCCACACCCCCCCCCCCACCCACACCCCACCCCACACACACCCCACCACCCCACAAAACCCACCCCCCAAAACACCCCCCCCACCCCAACCCACCCACCCACACCACCCACCACCCCAACACACCCCACACCACACACACACAACACACACACACCCCACACACCACACACACCACACACCACACACCCACACACACCCAAAACCAACACCCACCACACCACACCCCAACACACCACACACACCACAAAACCCCCCCACACACCACACAAAACCACACACACACCACCCCCACACACACACACACAAAAAACACACAACACACCCCACACACACACAAAACCACCCCACACACACACACCCACACACACAAACCCCCAAAAACCACCCCAAAACACACCCCCCCACACACACACCCCCAAAACACACACCCCCACACACACCCCCCACACACACACACACCCAAAACACACACCCCACACACACCCCCACCCCCACACACACCCCACACACACACCCCACACACACACCCCCACACACACCCACACACACACCCACACACACCCCCCACACACACCCCACACACCACCCACACACACACCCCACACACACCCCACACACCCCCCCACACACACCCCAAAAACCACACCCCACACACACACCCCACACACACACCACACACACACACCCCCCACACACACACCCCACACACAACCCCACACCAACACCCCCACACACACACCCCCACCACACACCACCACACACACCCCACACACACACCCCACACACACACACCCCAAAACACAAAACACCCCACACAACACACACCCACACACACACACCCCACCACACACACCCCACCAACACACCACCCCAAAACACACACACCCCACACACACAACCCCACACACACACACCCCAACACACACAAAACCCCCAACACACACCACACCCCACACACACCCCACCCCACACACACACCCACACACACACCCCACACACCCCCACACCCCACACACACACCCCACACACACCCCCACCCACACACACACACACCACACACACACACCCCCACACACCCCCCAACCACACACCCCCACACACCCCACACACCCCACACACACACACCAGCAAAAACCCCCCCAAAAACACCCCCCACACACACACCCCACCCCCCACACCCCCCCACCCCACCCCCCCCCCCCCACACACACACCCCACAACACCCCCCCACACACACACCCCCACCACACACACACACACACCCCCCCAAAACCCCCAACACACCCCCCACACACACACCCCCCCACAAAAAACACAAAACCCACACCCCCACACACGCACGCCCCAAAACCCCGCACGCCCCACACACAGCCCCCACACACGCAGCCCACAGACAAAACCGCCCCACAACACACGCCCCACACAAAACACAGCCCCACACAAAGCACGCCCCACCCCACGCACCACACACCCCCCACCCCACGCCCCACACACACGCACGCCCCACACACACGCACGCCCACCCCACACGCCGCCACACCACGCACGCCCACCCACACACACACCAAAACCCCCACACACCACGCCCCACACACACACGGGCCCCCACCACCCCGCCCACACACGCACGTCCCACAGCCACTGTCCCCCCAACCACGCCCCACACACGCACGCCACACACACACGCCCCACACACACACACACACCCCACACAAAACACGCCACACATGTACACGACCCCCACACACACAGGGCCCACACCACACAGGGCCCACACACACACACACACAGGGGCCCACACACGCACGCCCCCACACACACGCACGCCCCCCACACACACGCACGCCCCCAACACACGCACACACGCACGCCCCCACACAAACGCACGCCCCCACACACACGCACGCCCCACACACACGCACGCCCCACACACACACGCCCCACACACGCACGTCCCACACACACGTCTCACACGCACACCCCACACACACGCACGCACGCCCCACACACGCACGCCCCACACACACGCACGCCCCCACACACGCACACCCCACACACACGCACGCCCCACACACGCATGCCCCACACACACACACGCCCCACACACGCATGCCCCACATGCGCACGTCCCCCACACACACGCCCCACACACACACGCCCCACACACACACGCCCCACACACACACACACGCCCCACACACACACGCCACACACGTACACGACCCACACACACACACAGGG